AGAATGAAGCTGTCGGCAGAGAAGGGATTGCCGGTCGCCACTTGACACTGCCGGTCGGCAAAGTGTTCCTGCAGAATCTGCAATTGACAGCAACAGAGGGCAAGGCAAAGCATGGCAGCACAATTCAAAGCATATATGCACCATTCATGTCCCTTATCATGTTTGTGACTCAAAGGGGCATGTGTCTCGATTCTCGGACCACCAATCACGCATTTCCATGCATGATGGCCCAAAGAATCAAGTATGCAACTTTCATGTCAAATGAAATGCAAGCCAAACACACAAATCAAGGCCCAATTCCTATCACCAAGTCAAGGAACAAGGCATGCATGCAAGATGCAATGCAACCTGGTCATGCAAGCTAAGGATGCAACATGGCATGGCAAGGCACTTATGCAAGCATACAAGCAAACATGAGGCAATCCAATGGATGAAAAAATGGACTTATGCACGATTTAGGCAACTCTAAATAGGCCCAAAACAAGGGCCAAAGTGTTATAATATGAGGGACCAAATACATACACACATGCACATAATTGAGGGCCAACACTTAAGCACAAATGGGGCAACTCTCAAACACATTTGAAAGAAGGTAATCATGGACATATAGCATGCAACATAAGCATTAAAAATCATGTTAAAACATGGTGCCAAACCAAGCAATAAATCAAGCCAAGCATGCAACAAATGGCCTAAATGCTCAAAACAAACCAATGGAGTATTGAACTACACTTAGCAAGACCAAACATGGCATGAACTTAATGACTAAAAACAGAATTTTAGCACATAAAATAAAGCCCAAAAGACCACTTAGATGGCATCTAAATGTCTCAAATTCAAAAGCATGCACAAGTGCCAAGACATGGAGCATACTACACAAGCTTTCAAAGCATTAAAGATGCGTCCAAGGTAAACATATAGGCATGCAAATGGGACTGAAATGACATGGTAGATGGTTCCAAATTATCAAATTAATACAAAAATGTCATGCTATACATTCACATGCTTAAGGCCAACAAGCCAAAATGCAAAGGGGCTATATGATGCATGCCAAATCCGACCCAAACAACTATGGACAGACCTAAAACATGGAAAAACATGCACAAAAGCTTCACAAGACCAAGCCTAAAACATACTCTAACAAGGGCTAACAACCTAAGGCACATTGAGGCAATATCATGGCATTACATGGTAGGTATGCTAAGCATGCATGGTGTACCAAAACCAACAAAAAACAGAGGCATAATATGACATATCACTAAAACATGAGCTCAGTATACTGAACCGAACTGTCTATGTTAAGATGCTATAAATTTGGGTAAGACTTGGTTATTGATATCCTGACCTACCACATCTTGTCCATCTCTTCAAGGCACAACTCGATGGAATACACATTAATTATTCAGAATTCATGACAGCAACCATGTGGCAACAAGTGATGCCAAACGACTCAAACTTCAAGCAACAACATTTTATTGTGATATCTGCTGGAAAATACTCAACCGTCCATGTGCATGTTAATGCCTTGTTGTAATAACCCTGACCTCTGATTAACATTAATCTGTGATTAATTATACCTAATTAGCAATTAAGGTGAAATTCTGAATTAAACTGCATGTGTGTGATGCATTGTTTGTGTCTATATCTGTTAAGCGTAGAAATATCTGTTCACATTTTAGTTTCGGTTTGCGAATTGAAAGTCTTATCGGCGTCCGAATCAGAAATTGACTTGATTTATGTGCTAGTTAGGATTTATAGAATTTTATGATAGGTTTAATTTAAATTTGATTTTGAATGATTAAATTAGAATAAATGAGGTTACATTAGTTTGAGTTTATTTCATTATTGCCATTAGTGGGCCACTTTCAAAAGTATTGTTTGAGGCTTAATTCATACACTTTGATTCACCACTCTTCTC